GAATGCAAAGAGCACATATAAATCGTTACGTCAATTCCACGATATATATATATATATATATATATATATATATATATATATATAAACATAGAGAGAAACGCGTTCACATACATCCGGGAACGGGGTGTCTTCTTTGTCTTTTAGCATAACCCTTTCGCAATTCTCATTGTACTCCAATATTCAGCGGACGATTGAAATCAAATCATTTGTACGCTTCCCGATGCGCTAACCCGTGATATAATTGCGTTTAAGTGACTTCCGTTATAGCGAGATACTGATCTGGCTTCTCATCTCTTTGCGCGCACGCGCGAGCGCGTTTACATTGGTAACAGGGCTACAGCTCAATTATTTCAACCTCTGATTATTCGAGCGTTAAGCAAATTCACGCGTACAGAGAGACAGACACGTAATGATGAGAGGTAACACCGTATGATCTTGGAAACTATATATGACTTTGTAAACTAAATCGTATTCAAACTAATCGATTATTTAATACAATCCAGCTTATCGAATGTTCCACGTATATAGCTTCCTATATATATATGTATTACGTTAGCTGAACTAAGCTGGTATGTCAAGACAAGACTGTAAATGCGTTCGGCTATGACGAAATTTTTAATGATACAACAGTGTGCTCCCGTGTTTCACATTTCTATATATAATTAAACCGTAGGAACTTTAATAGCGCATTATATTATATTCCTAACATGTTCATGAAAATTCAATGGGTCGGAACAACGGGCGAGTGGGTAACCGTAATAAAGCCAAGCAGTATAACGACACTGTCATTAAGTGGCATTGCGGTCATGAATGCCGTGCCACGCGATACAACGGACCATTGTTAGGATTAAATCATTTCAACCGAGCTTTTTCGATGCACGAAGATGTGTGATTATTTATTCATGATTACGTATCTAAAACGCTCGCTGTCATACGGGATTCTAGATAATCGCGGGATCCTGGCGAAATTCTGCAAGTTAATGATATTCCGGATAATCGATTATTCGACATATCGCGAGACGTTGAATCGGATCAGACGATTCAAAATAGATGATGAAAAATTATTAATTTCTTGACACGAATTCTTTGCTTTTCATAAATATTAATTTGACACATTGCTTTACATTTTATTATTAAATATTAGTACGTATAATTATTTGAATAAGTAACGTAAATAACGTGTAATTAATTGGATAGGAATGTGCTTGCTAATTATTTTTACATTTCAAACTTACAACACTTTTATTCACATTTTTAATACCTATTTAACATTATTAATAACATTATCAGCTACAAAATTCCTTTGGCAAAATTTTTCGTACATTTTAAATACGCATTTAGCATTAATAATTAATTAATAAGCTTGTTTTTTATAAATAATTAAGCGTTATTTATAAATAATTAATAAGCTTGAAAATTCATTTGAAGAAATTGTTGAGTTTATAAAAGTGAAGATGTTTTCTGAATTTATACCGGAAATTCGTTGCTTGGAACCTTAATTCGGCCTTAATAGAGAAGGTCACGAGGCTCTCGTGTAACCGTTAATTAAGATGTCTATCTGCACGTTGCAAAATATAGACCGGCAATAGTAGGGCGGCCGATAGATACGATCTGGAAACTCGGCCAAATCTTTTCAAAGACGTCGCGCGCCGTAACGGAGTAATGAAAGACATCGATTTGCCGTGGCGGCGCGTACATGCACCGCGGCAATTCCGGCGCGATAGAGGCACGGGATAATAAATATCGCTTTGCAATCCCGGTAGTTTCGTCGTCGAGATACGGACTACTATGCTCTGTGCAAACCGTTCGTACGAGGCGTATCGAACGAACGTTTTGTGCCCCGACGAGCGATCGACACACGAAATTGAATCTGCGGGTTCACGCCATCGACATACTTAATAGATAGTTGAGATTCTTTTTTCTTTTCTTTTTTTCCAAATGCATTTGCGATTTTCGATCTCATCCGCGCAGGACTCTCCTCATTACAATTCCGACACCGTCGACGACTGTTATTAACGTCGCGACATTCTCATAAGAGGGCGAATTCGCGCATTGCCACATAAAAATAGGCACTTTTCTCGAAATGGTATTCTCGGAAGGTTCGAAACTCTGTACAAGAAACTTACCATGGCTTAGAAAGTAGAAGCTTAAAATATTATATAGCTTCGCGTACACACTTATCTCGCATGTACGGTACAGTTGCGTTGCAACAAAAGGAAATAAATGCAGTAATATACGAGGATAGAGACTCGTACGCGCAATGACGCCCCATTTTTCCAGTTACTCTGTTTTTTTACCTTTTTAAACGAAATTATTTATATAATTTTGGTATAATTTTTTTCTATTCAATTTTATAATATGTAGATTTTGATGCATATAGATTCTTCTTAAAATATATTATACACATCTCTCAATCGTGTTTTACTCTTCCACTTTCTGGCTTACTCTGACATAATTTGTCTTACTGTGATTATATCTGGCGTACTCTGTTGGCGTAATCTGGGTTACTTTGATTTATTCCGGATGATTTTGACATATTATACGACGCGTGTGTGTTAACTTAACTAGTTCAATTTCATATATCTATTTTCGACTTGATATGACCTGATATAATGCACGTTCGATTTTTCTTTTTTTTTGTATTTAAAGTAATTTTTTATTAATAAGGCGTGTAAATTTATATCTGTACCGTAATTTATGTTAAAAAAATCATGATTGAATCTCCAAGAATGCATCTCCATTCTCAGCGTGCAGTCGCGCTAACTATTCTACTTGCGACATCGGAGTATTTCGATTCCTTCCTGTCTACAACTCCATTCCTAATAATGACATTTGAGTTCTGAATATAATTATGTAACTTCCGCCATCTACGTGTAAGCTAAACTATACGATCGGCGACCAGAACGTGCTTCCGCAAACTCGATCTAATTTTCGCTGACAATGGCACTCTCGGTTCTACGGTAACGTGCTTATCTAATCGCAACTTTTCTATGCATCCAAGAGTTATGACGCGGCATGTCCTTATTGCGGTCACCGAAAGAAATGTACGTGCTAGAACACGTGTCACGGGCCTTACTACGTTCTTCCTACGGCTGACGTATACGGAGTGCCGCACGCGAGAACACTAATCTCAGAATACACGTGTCACTGTTGTCTGTCACTTACGGAAAACGCACACGCGAGCGGACGATATTTGAAAACACGAGGAAAGCACGCAATACAGCATATTTTCTGTATATATATATAGCACGCAATACAGCATATTTTTTGTATATATATATATATATATATATATATATATATATATATATCGCGGCGTTGCTTTTTAAGCAACGTTTCTTTCCAAAACTGTCTCAAGCACCTAAACAAAATTTGCGATGGGCAAATGTCCGCTATAATGAGTGACGTCGCAATTTCTCACGATTATTGCCACGAAAAGCGGATTAATTTACGTCCCTCTCGCTTATTCGTTTCATTTAAGCGAATTATCAACCGGAGGACGAAAATTCCCATCACAGCGCAATTATCCTCTTTTCTCCTCTTTTGTCGTTTCTTTTTTTTTTCGAAGTCTATGAAATTGGTACAGCTCTCGGTCAGTTGGTTCATCGAATTAACGCTCCATTATCTCTAAAACAGTGAATTTCTGCACGCCACTAGTATATGGCGTTTGCAATTACGCAAAGTACACTGCAAATCAACTGGATATTCTTTGTCTCTATAAAACGCCATTTCTGGTATTGGCACGTATTCACTCTGATACTGATTTTAAAATTTGCATGGTCGTGTGTGCAAAGTTATTTGAGCGAGAAGCGAGGAGAATTCGCTATTTAAGTCCCATTTTTCTCGACAAAACCTATTTTCCAGCATGTATAACGTTGGACGATGAACGAATAATATAGGAAGAACTGACAAGTATTCCCCTTAGAATACGATTGTAAAAGTGCAGAATGCTGCCTTTCTCATTCATAATATATCGTGCACCGACGCTACAACGATGACTATGCAAAGGAGAAAAGTTGTAATTGAATTTTAATAATATTAAGAAATATAATTAAGAACATATAATTACGCGAGTATTTATTTTCGATATACTTATAGAGAGTTAAAGTTCCAAAAACCTACAAAAATTCGAACGATATTATATCGTTGTAATTGTTTGAGGAAAAAGTAAAAATAAAAGCAGCGCAGATTTTGTCAATCCTATTTCCTCATTATAGAGCGGTAATATAGAGTATATATTTGCACCACACAAGTAAGAAACTTCGTTGCTCTTTGTTATAGAAACGTTAGACAGACGGCATAAGGCGACGGATTGGGTAATTAAGGAAACCATTAACTGCAAAATCCGATTTATCTGCGACGATTGGCTTCAAAGTTTCACGACGAGGCAAATGTTCCTCGAAGTTTCAATCAACTCTGGAACCGGTACCCTGCAGCCGTTGTCCTAAGACGTTCGGAATACGATTATAATAAATTCTTGGCTAAAAGTTACCGAACTACCCAAATCCGCTTTCAGTGATAATAATAGCGAAAACAAATGGGAAAGGGGGTGTAGAAAAAAAGATAGTCTTTTTTACATAAAGCACTACTATGGAACACTACGTCACAGTAGCTTGCATTTCAGAGGCGTCAGCATTGCGATTTGCATGTAAAACGAAATGCGCTTTCTCTCATATTTACGAGAGGATGATACTTCAATATTCCTTGTTGAGAAATTTTCAATATTTTTCTAATATTCATGCTTTTTTTATCTGACAATTACGAAAGCTTTTTGTACAGAAATTTGATAAGATTTATTCTCCAATGATAATGCAATATTGAACCCTTTTTGCATTTATACATATACCTATAAACGGAAGGCGATGCAAAACAGTGTCAACTTGTGATATATTTCATCGATAATATTCGAGAATAATATAATATTATATATAATTAGTTGTATAATTTGAGAATATTGCGTTTGAAATCTTTTTTATAAAAATAATTTTTTTTTGTTACAGGTGAATATTTAGGCCATGTTTGAACGGTGCTGCGAACAGGTATGTTAAAGTTTTTTTGTTTAAACTTTTCAAAGTGTGTCTGAAAACATAGCACGTAGCGTAGAAAATCTATATGAGAACGAATGTAAAACGTTGTTATGGTTGTGTGTTTCATACGCGGTCCCTGTATTATTATTATTATTATATACAATAATAATATTGGAAGCATTGCGGGACTACGCGCGCCATACACAACACGTCGCTTACTTTTCGATTTCCGTTGAAAAAATTGAAATGCTATTTTCCTTTATGACGTTATATGCTCGCATTGCCGTCAATGTAAACCGTTCAACGTGACGGGCCCCCATTTGTCCCGGGAATATTTCCGTTCTTTGGCAAAATGTAATTTCCTTGCGGCAAGGGCCATGCGCTTTAGCGACGAAAAAAAAGAAGAGGTATCGAATGTGAATAATTCAAATGTCATTTCTCAGTTGGATTTGTCGGTCCGATGCCCGCATACTGCCAAACGATATATCCGATAAAATGCCGAAAGCAATCGCCGTCACCCGTTTGGCGTAAAAAAGCTTATTTATGGAGTATCCGTCGATATCCGGCCTAACTTTGATTGTCACCCTAGTACCCTTATATACATACTGTCACAGTTTCCGTATTCGTGATAGACACAACGATGATCTGGCACCGCTCAGATTGTTAACTAGTGTTTCCTTTTCAGCTTTCTTTTTCACCGGCGAAAATATTTTCGCTCTGCGTGCGGAAAAAAAATGTGTATCTGGTGCGTTCCGCGAAATTATTTCTTGCGGTATATTGCACGATACAGTATATAGCGCATCAACAAAACGACCGCGGTGCTAGTGATTTAATTAAATCGTCTGTTTTCCAGTTACGTGTAATTGAAATGCAACTTTTAGAACATCAATGTATATAGATGTGTATATATATATATATATATATATATATGCATGTCTGTATTTGTGCGCGTAGAAATATATTCTCCACAGTTGCCCGAGAGAAAATATTCGTCGAAACGCACGCGGCTTCATTTGAACAGAATAACTATTAGCTCCCGTACTTCAGCTTTCCGCGTTTTATGATTTTAAAATTTACAATTCTCTGTGAAAAACGTCTGCACATATCTATGCGAATTAACATTAAATAATGAACAATCAAATTATGCCGGAGCGACAGTATTTAACATGATTTCTTATGGCTTCGATATTATTAAGAGCGAGAATAAAAATTCTGAATTTTTATCTCGTTTATATCTTTGTTATCGAAGTTTCTCTACATAACAATATTCGCAATCGATAAAACGAATTTTTAAATTGAACTCAAAATTTTCGTTTGGATTCGTTAATCAATAGTCAAATATCTCGTTATTGCTGGGAATGAAGAATTAAATTACCTACATGATCATTTATTGATTAACGAATCAAAAGCGAGTTATAACTTTGCATTTGTGATGTTGGAAAAGCTCATTTATTTTGATCGTAATTGCAATACTGTTGCAGTAATGATTCATAATAGAGCGCGATTTAATTTTTCTGCGATAGTACACCTCGATATATATATATATATATATATATATATATATAAATTTAATTAATGAAAGGCTCGTATAAATTAAACAAAATTAAACAATCATATATAGTAGGCCAACTAAACGAGCAAATAAATAAGATGTAAAAATTTTTTTATTAATAGTTAAATCATTAAATTAACATTCCGTTACAGATCGATATAAATTGTAAACGTTTCGACTGCACTACAGTCTTTATCAATACATAAAAATTAAATATTAAAATATAAAGTTAGATGTTAAAAATACAAAGTTAGTTAAATATTAAAATATAAAATTGAAACGATTCTTCGCTGTTGACCAATAGATATGCAAGGCGATTGGTCTGAGATGCCAAGTTATGCGACATTTGAGCATGCTACGGATATAATACGCGAATTAAATCAATGTCAGAAAAAATTAAAAAATCTTTCAACTTACATTATCGTTTTAACAAGTCCTTTTCCCCGATATTTCAAGTGTGTGTTGCGAAGTCTGAATACCAAATGTCAAAATAGAGAGCGTGATGTATTTATTTATTACCAATGTTTTTTCTAAATTATGATTCAGCAAATTTTTTAAGTATGTCAAAATAACTACTGTCTAACAATTCGGTGTCTGTATTTAAATTAATTCCATTTTTCTGTTCTTTAATGTGGATCATTTTAGATATTAGTCTTTTATGGTAATTCTTTTCATGATCCATAATTTTAATATTGTCCCAGTCAAATGTATGTTGTTCGTTTAGGATGTGTTCCGTGATAACCGAATGTCTAGCAGAGTCTAATTTAATATTATTTTTATGTTCTTTAAGTCTCGTTCCTAACTGTCTTTTTGTCTGTCCGACATATGTGGCGTCACAATCGTTGCAATTCAATTTGTAAATAACGTTAGAATTCGTGGGACAATTATTTTTGTCCTTTTGAACTCTTATGAAGTCATTTAATTTTTTAATGCAACGATATCCTACCACTACGTCAGGTCTTCTTATTGCTGAAGCAACTTTCTCAGATATTGATTCTATATATGGTATGACAAAATATTTAATGTTAGTATTAGTATTATTAGTATCTGTTATATTGTTATTATTAGGCTTGTTAAATTTCTTAGTTGAGAGATTTTTTAATCTGCGTTTTATTTCTGTGAAAATTAGATCAAGAGGATAACCGTTGGATAGCAAAATGTTAATAGCTTTCTCTATATTTTTTTTGTGAAATTGCGGATGTGATAGTAATAAAGCTCTATCTACCAAGTTATAAATTGTTCCTATTTTATGACAAGTCGGATGATTTGAAAAAAATGAAAGTAATCTACCTGAGAATGTCTTTTTGTGATACCAATCTAAATAAATTTTGTTATCTATTACTTTGATCATTATGTCTAAAAAGCTTATACAACGATTATCCTCCTTTCCCAATGTAAATTGTAGTCTATCGTTATAATTGTTGAATTCGTTCAAAACATATGTAATATTGTCAGCGGAAGTGCATAAAATAATGTCGTCTACATAACGGAAATAGAAAGTCATTTCGCAATTTAAATTACTAATTACCAATGTTTCCAAGTCCTGCATGACTATATCGGCAATGATCGGAGAAAGTGGGGAACCCATAGGAGTCCCATAAATTTGTTTGTAAGTTATGTTATTAAAAGTGAAAAATGTAGAAGTTAATATAAATTTTATCATACCTATGAATTCATTTTTGGGAATCTTTGTGTGTGACTCTATAAAATGCCATCTATTATTGATACCGTTTAATGCAAGATCTACGGAAACATTAGTAAATAATGAAACAACGTCCAATGAAGCTATTATGTCGGTATCTTGTATTGTTTTCCCTGATAGAATGTTGCATATATCAAAACTGTTATTTACAAAACTGTCCGCTCTAGGAAGGCTATCTTTTAAAATTTTATGAAAGAAAGAAGCAATATTATATAGAGAAGTATTTATTGAGGAAACTATTAATCTAAAAGGAATATTTTCCTTGTGGATCTTGGGGAGCCCATAAGCTTTAGGAAGAAGAGAGTCGCTTGAAAATAAATAATAATATTCTTTTTTGTTGATGAAGTCTTTTTTCAACCATTTTTTTAAACAAATATTGAGGTCTTTTTCTATTTTTGTTGATGGATTGTTTTTAACTATGGTATACGTAGAATCGTCTTCTAGGACATTTGGTATTCAGACTTCGCAACACACACTTGAAATATCGGGGAAAAGGACTTGTTAAAACGATAATGTAAGTTGAAAGATTTTTTAATTTTTTCTGACATTGATTTAATTCGCGTATTATATCCGTAGCATGCTCAAATGTCGCATAACTTGGCATCTCAGACCAATCGCCTTGCATATCTATTGGTCAACAGCGAAGAATCGTTTCAATTTTATATTTTAATATTTAACTAACTTTGTATTTTTAACATCTAACTTTATATTTTAATATTTAATTTTTATGTATTGATAAAGACTGTAGTGCAGTCGAAACGTTTACAATTTATATCGATTCTGTAACGGAATGTTAATTTAATGATTTAACTATTAATAAAAAAATTTTACATCTTATTTATTTGCTCGTTTAGTTGGCCTACTATATATGATTGTTTAATTTTATATATATATATATATATATATATATATATATATCGAGGTGTACTACTATCGCAGAAAATGATTCATAATAGAATGATTCATAATAGATTCATAATAGAGCGCGATTTAATTTTCCTGCGATAATAGTACATCTCGAAATATATATATATATATCGAGATGTACTACTATCGCAGGAAAATTAAATCGCGCTCTATTATAACTCGCATATATATATATATATATATATATATATATATATATATATATATATATCGAGGTGTACTACTATCGCAGAAAAATATTATATATTTTTAAAATATTATATATATATTTATATATATAAAGAATTTTGTTTTATACAATATTAGTTTATAAAGTAATAATATCGCTTTAACGTTACTTTATGCATATTGTATGACACAACACGTTATGTATAAAATTACGTAACTTGCACTTTTTTTTACCCAATTATCGCCTTTTTCGTTATATTTTTTAACTTGTTTTCTATTAACGTATTTTTTCTCATTTAATTTTTCTTACCTCCCACAGATGTTACGTAAAAAGCGCTTCTTACGTAGCGCGTGCAGCAAAAACTCTCTACGAAAGTTATTTATATGTAAAGCTATTTACGAGTATTTTCTCAATGCGAAAAACCATAGTGTCCTGTTGGTAGCTGGTAGAAGGAACCAGTCCGCACGCTAATGGCGGCGATTATATCGTGAAAACATCGGCTTGGCTGCCATATTTCTTGCTCGAAAGAGTTGTTAATACTTGGTTCGCGATCCCGCGATGATAACCCAATTTACCGTCCGGCGCGCGCGACAAGTCGACCTCGTCGAGTAGAGTTTGACGGTAAACAATGCCAAAAGCTGTTTTCGCAGGTCAAGAAGGTG